CCCGGGCCCCCCCCCCCCCGAGCGGGGGCTGGTCCCAAATATCTCCTCGCCCCGAAAGCTCCTGCCCTGCAGAGCCCTCGCGCCTGGGCGAGCCTCAGCCACCACCCGCAGCCGGGTGGGATCCCGGCACCCCGGCACCTCTCCAGCCATCCTCCCATGTCCGCCCCGGTGCCGAAGCCCGGGGGCTCCATTAACCCTGAACCCCCGAGGTGCCATGAGACAAGATGCCAAGAGACGCGGCTGCACCACGGAGGACAGCGCCGTGCCGGGGGACGCCGCTGGCCACCCCACAAAGGGGCTGGGGCAGCCCAAGGCAGCACCGCGGCGAGGTTGGCCACAACCCGGAGGCTGTTCAGCCCGGGATGGTTGGAGAAATCCTGCCAGGAAAAGCGTGGAGCTGGATTCAACCATCTCGCCCGAGTCGTCGGCTGAAGGTATTCAGCGTGAAGCCACTCTGCGGCACCGTTTGGCATGCGAACACCAAATCTGCCGCAGCCAGAGGGTCCCTGTCCCCAGGGCCGGCACCCGAGGGTGGCACCCAAGGGTCCGAGTTTTATTTCTCCAACATTTTCTCCATCTCAGGTGCCGCGTGCCCTGACTCATCCCTTCTCTTGCCTCCGAAACGACGGGTTTGGCTCTTCCTCGGCGGGATTTGGCTCTTCCCATGTGACCGAACCCGGCTCTTGGCTTCCCAAGGAAACTGTTTGCTCTGACGCATCCCACCAAGGGGACAAAGCTGTAAACCGTGCGGCCGAAGGCTGTGGTGGCCGGCGGTGCCCGACTCTGCCAGCCACGTGCTCCTGCCCCCAGCACGTGCCGTGTCCCCTCGGTGTCCCCTCGGACGTCCCAGTCCGCAGCGGGGAAGCATCTCGCCGTCCTCACCCACGGCACGGCCCCGCGAGCCCAATCCGTCCGGGAGAGGAGACAGGAGCAGCTGCCCCCAACTGACGTTTGGTCGGGGCTGGGCCGGGTGCTGTCCTCCTGGGTGCCTCGGTGACAACGGTGACGACCAGGAGGAGGTAACGGGCCCCATCTCATCCCAGGGACGGCAGCCGCTCGGCTGGCAGCAAGATGCCAAGGGCGCTGCCCGGGCAGGGGGAGCATCCCAGCCAGGAGTCGTGGTCCCGCAGACGCTCCCGGCTCTGTCCAGAGTCCTCCGTGGCGTGGGGACGGGGTACGGCCCGTGCTGTGCCGAGACCCGGCACACCAAAACGCAGAGCCCTCGCTTACGGCGCTGGGTCCCCTCCCCGGAGCGTGCCGGGGGGTGACCTCGGGGACGAGGACCCCCCTGGGCATGTTGGGGCTGACCCCAAGGTGGCACGGCTTTGCCCCCGGAGCCGACGTCCGACCTGCCGGCCATCCTCCCCTCCCAGCTGCCTCCGTCCCCAAGGGGCACCTCGCCCGACGGGAGACGCCCGCGGCGCCCG